AGATTGGTGCAATTAAAGGAATGGTTGAGTAATATATTGGTTTTTTGTACAAGATACATTAGTGCAAAGAAAAATCATTGACACATCTATTGTAGCTAATATCTTCACAAACTTCATATCATTGTGCGATCTGCGACAAACTGTGGAGAATTACCATGCTAGTGGTAGTGGGTCCAATACACTTGTCTTTATGAGATCAGAAGATGCATGGACTTTAGATATTAGTTGGATCCAAATAGTAAATACCCAAGGCAGTACAGTATTTTCTTAGACTTGATATCTCTATCCTTGCTCCATTACAGGAGTTTGTAGTATGAAGCTTGCTGAATGCAGATTGTCTTGACGGTCACATGACATAATGAGTGAGAATTTTCACATTGCTGTCCATTTTGATCGAGTGGGAGTGAATTGAACAGGACCAGAGTTCAGACCCAAACCCGCTTGGGTGTAGGTCCAAAGAGATCCACAATCTAGTCTAATAAAAACTAGAGTTTCATGCACCTATATCAGGCCTCAGGATCTGTCTGATGGCCATAATTTATCTTAGAGATTTTGCCTGGAGAAGATTGTCAAAACCCTATATATACTCCCTTAAGCTTCTTTCCTCCCTCAACACAGAAAATAAAACGAGCAATCTCTTGGTTTCAGGCTGAGAGCTCATTCTGGAATATGATTGTCTTGTATCATGATTAGTGAGAAAAATTGCTTGATCGCGGTCTTCTCAATTGCTTGATCACGGTCTTCTCCACCACAAGGCCCTTTCCAGCAAATAGTGTGAAAGAATATTACCTTCTTGGATTTATCTTCCACAAGTTCACTATGAATATGCTTTGTGTTTTGATAGACCAATGAGGGATATACAAACTACTGTAGCATTTGAGTATAGGTAGAATGTTTTATTTTTGGGAGATGATCACGTTAACTTTAGTTATTATCATCTCTTGAGCAAGATTTGAGATCTTTCTATCTTATCGGAATTTCTTTTCACCTTTATTGATATAATTATTGGCATTATTGATTGTTTTAGAAGTTTTTTTTTTAATATCAGAGCAATGGATATGTGGATAAGACAATTCAGTCAAAAGCTTATATTCATTTTTTTTTAGTTTTTATCCCATTTGATCCCATTTCAATCGTAGATCACCTCATATATTAGTTTTTTTATTTGCCAATATCGGTGTGCCGTAGTCAATGTAGCCAATATTGGTGGCGTTAATCAGTTATGAGTGGCTCATATTGGCGTGTGCTTAGAATCTGACAGAATGCATCTGAGATTTCAAGCTTTGGTTTAGAGTAAGTCTCTCTATGCACATTGTTAGTAGGTTCTATTTAGGCCTCAAAATCTATCTGGAAGCTTGTGGATTTCTACTTCATAAGCCATTGTATACTTGGGTTTTTATACTTAGTCTCTTGTGAGAACAATAGAAAGAGCTATTTGGTTGGTCATGTTTTAAAACACATGTCGATATGAACTTATTCTGCTACTTGTTAATTTTTCAATTTTTGGGGGAAAAAACTAATTTTCCCCCCTTGTTGATACTTTACATGCTTGATTCCTGTTTTTTTCTTGTTTTCGTTACCATTGATATTCATATGGCTGTTGTAAATTAGGAAATTAGATTTCGATTTCTTTCTGTCTACTTGTTTGTCATGAATTGGTTTTCTTCCATAGGTTGCAAAGCGTCTGGAGAAGTTCAAAACAACAATCTTCACACAGATGAGCATGCTTGCTATTAAACATGGAGCAATAAACCTAGGTCAAGGCTTCCCAAACTTTGATGGCCCAGAGTTCATCAAAGAAGCAGCAATTCAAGCGATAAGAGATGGGAAAAACCAATATGCAAGGGGCTATGGTCTTCCAGATCTCAACTCTGCTATTGCTGCCAGATTCAAGAAAGATACAGGTCTCGTAGTGAACCCTGAAAAGGAAGTGACCGTCACTTCTGGCTGCTCTGAAGCAATCGCTGCTACCATCCTCGGCTTGATAAATCCCGGTGATGAAGTGATTCTCTTTGCTCCATTTTATGATTCTTATCAAGCTACCCTTTCAATGGCTGGAGCCAAAATAAAATCCCTCACCCTTCGCCCCCCAGATTTCTCAGTTCCACTAGAGGAGCTTAAGTCTGCTATCTCAAAGAACACCCGCGCAATCCTCCTAAACACTCCTCATAATCCAACCGGAAAAATGTTTACTAAATCAGAGCTTGAAACAATTGCAGCTCTCTGCATAGAGAATGATGTCTTGGTTTTTGCTGACGAAGTTTATGACAAGTTAGCATTTGAAGCTGAACACATATCTATAGCTTCACTTCCTGGAATGTATGAGAGAACAGTGACTATGAATTCACTGGGAAAAACTTTCTCATTAACTGGTTGGAAAATTGGGTGGGCGATTGCACCTGTGCATTTAACATGGGGAGTGAGGCAAGCCCATTCGTACCTTACCTTTTCAACATCGACTCCAATGCAATGGGCAGCATCAACAGCGCTTAGCACAGCAGATGCTTATTATGAGGAGTTGAAGATAGATTACATGGCGAAGAAGAAAATATTGGTTGATGGGCTTAAAGCAGCAGGTTTTGTGGTTTATCCATCGAGTGGCACGTATTTCGTAATTGTTGATCACACCCCTTTTGGATTTGAGAATGATGTGGCCTTTTGCGAGTACATGATTAAGGAAGTGGGGGTTGTTGCAATTCCTACCAGTGTGTTTTACTTGAATCCTGAGGAAGGAAAGAATTTGGTGAGGTTTACCTTTTGCAAAGATGAGGAGACTCTCAGGGCTGCAGTTGAGAGAATGAAGGAGAGGTTGAAGAAGAAGTAGAAACTGTAGGATGAGTATTATTTATGAACGTTTTCTGAGGCAAGCAGCCGGGATGGGAATGTAATAGATGTTGAGGTTGATAACCAACATTCTATTGTAATAAAAGTACGAAATTTGAGATGACTAGACTATTTTTTTGAAAGGGGTATTTACATTTAGACGATGCTTACCAAAGTATCTTGGCTCAGCGTATTGAGTTTACCCATAATCGTATGCGTCTTCATCATTGTTTTTTTTATTGAGTTACGAAAGTATCATTGTTTTATTGAGGTCGGGGAGTTTCCTACTGGTATATGCATCTAGGTGGATGGATATGCAGCAATCCTTTTTCATGTAAAAAAAATCTTCAGTGTGTATACTGATAAACTGGAATGATGATATTTATAATACTGACTAGACTTTTTTATTTTTTCCAGTAACAAAAAAATTCAGATGTTTCGATTACCTACGAAGTGACAATGCTCATATCGCCAGGCCACACGATGACTTGCTCAATTCTTCCAGAAACATAGTCACCAAGGTGTCTAACCTTCAAAAGTTCCCAGAAACCCTGCAGGCATCTGAGAGGGACTTGCAGAAAGTGATAAGCATTGAATGATGCTCGAGATCCTTGGCTGCAGACCGGCAGCTGGAGAACTCCAACCTTAATAGCGTCACAATCGCCTTAACATTCGGGGAAAATGGCTTTCGTTGAATCTTCAATATCGTCTACTTTTCCGCTTAGAGAAGCGACGGGCCCGCATCTGACTCCTCAGTCCACCAAGAGGCCACAAACAAAGCTACAGCTAACATGAATAATACAGATCAGGTGATGATCCTAAAAGTCTGATGTAGATTAGATGGAGAGTTTTCAAGTGATCTTTTAAAAGCAAGAAGCATCATTAAGAGGTCAAAGCATGATCCCGAGGTCTTGACGTTGAAACAGCAAGACCTTGAAACAGCCTACGGAGAATCTTCAGAGGTTTTCATATCAAAAGAGGTTGAAACATGTGTGTATCTCTGAACAACAGCACTCGACGAGACTTACTAGGGAGCTACGACTGTGCGAATCAGAAATCATACTGATTGTTGGCGTAATTGCCGTTACACAATACTACGCGCGTCAGCGTCGGAGTTTTCGGCCTTTGACATAATCACATCAAAACAATCGGCTACTGCCAAAATAACCACCATAAAGACATACGAAAATTCTCTCACCAGAGAGACAAAGGTGCACAAAATTTGAACCCTCTACCCCTCTATTTGCTTTCTCATAAAAGAGACTGACTAAAGCATCTAGGTGCGACGCCGGTAATGTCCGATGATGTTCGTTTTATGCACCTCTATACGGATTTACTGGCTGTCGCGCGTATCGTTCCTATACAAACAAATTCAAATCGGTGCACAATTGAGTAGTGAGGCCAAATAAGTCGATGCAAAGTCAATGAAATTGGGGTTAATTGCAGATAAACCCCGTGTAGTTCGTCCAATTGTGGATATACCTCATGTAGTTCTAATTGTGCGGACAGAACCCCTGTACTATTTGCCCAAGTGCAAATAAACTCCCCTCGCTGAACTCTTTTAGACTCTTTTAATAGTAAAAAAAGTTAGCAATTGGGGGGGTGTCTTCGCCGATAGAATTGCAGGGAGAAAATCCACCCCCGAACTTTCTTTCTTTTTGAATATTTTAAGAGTAGAAAAGGAAAAAAATCTACTCAAAGGGTCTATGCGTAATTGGGCTATACTAGAGGGGTCTATCCACACTTAACCCATGAAATTATTATCCCAACTTCTGTTGACAAGAGGGAAATACCCCCACCTTCATAAAAAACCAAGGTGGTAGCTTTCATCCAGCCTGGTATCAGTAATAAGTAGCGAGCAGTAAATATGTAATGAAAAGGATGGATACTGTTCATTCTCAAAGGTAAAACACCGAGCCCCAAAAGTGAAAATTTTGGAAAGGATGTTTCGAGCATCGAGCACAAAGGATGTTCTTAGCCTTCACAGAAAGAATAGAGAAATAAATACTTTGGAACTTTTTACTATTCTACCTATGGCTCAAAATATCGTTGAGGTCTACCACTGTTCTACAGCATTGGCAGAGAATACCGTCATTACAAAATATTTTGGTCGTCCCAAACATGGAAAGATTTAGCCGTTAGCCTAGCGGTTACTACTTATTACTGTCTTGTGTAGGTGTCTAAAAATGCCTATAGGTGTCCGTATACAGCTCGAGACGGAGAGAAGACGACGAACATCGTTATCCGAGTTTAAGAGGTTATCTAACGCCGACAAGTGCATGAACCAAAATGACGAACCAACTATGTCTCGTGCGCTCAACGGCCACCTCAAATTGGCTGTCACGCACGTCAGTCAGCCCGCGCGCGTAAGTCAGCTCCAAGTGACCGGACGCGCACGTTAGTCAGCCCGCGCACGTAAGTTAGCTCTAAGTGACCGGACGCACACGTTAGTCAGCTCGCGTGGAGTGTACAAGTCAACACGACGGGCAAATAAGCGAAACGACAGAAAGTACAAGTCCCGAAAAGTAAAGTGCCAAAAAATGAGTTCAGCTGAGGCGGAGGACCCACGCCGGCGCGGGTTGGAGATTGCTGACCCGCGCTAGTGCGGGTCAAAATCGTCTGACCCGCACCCCTGCGGGTCAGCACGACCTGTTTCGCGCCCAGAAGTTCTGAAAACGCGTTTTCGACGGTTCTTTTGCTGTTTTCTTGGGATTTGTTCATTCCAGAGTATCTCAATTGTTTGGATATCATCCATAAACATGTGTAGGCTGTTATTAACTGAAGATAAAGCCAAATCCTGCGTTCTCATCCAAATTAACCGATTTTGAGGCCTATAAATATGAAATGAGGGTCTCCTTTCAGAGGAGGCGAATTATTATCAAGACGAGGAGGTGCTGCCGAGTTGGAGAGCAAAGGAGCACGAATTTCAGAGGAGGCTAACTGATCTCGGCGAAGTTCTTCAGCATAAAGAGGGAGAGTTCGAGAGATCTGAAGTCCCGTCCATTCCTTGAGATTAGGCTTGGTCTTAATCTCGAGAAGAGCTACTGATTTCGTTTGGTCGATTTTAGTGTTTCAAGCGAATACTTCCTTAGTGAAGTAGGCCCTCAGTCAATTTTCTGACAACCGGATCTGATCCACGGTCATCCACGGATATCAACATCCTCGGTACAGGCGAAGTTCCTATGCAAACAACAGGAGATAAACTACCGTTGTGCTGTTTGACAAGAGTTGTATTTTATTTTATTTTCATTGTATATGGAGATCTTATAAAAAAATCGACTTTTTCTTTCTTATTTGAGTTTATTATAACGATTAAAGTTGTAATAGATTCAAAGCAATGAAAACATCAACTTTTGACCCAAACGAAGTTTAACTTGATTAACTTCATGCCGTTTGACGGGAATGGTTCACCCACTCAACACCTGATCTACTTCAAATCCCACTTGGGTATGATCTCCGGCAATAAAGCCTTGATGGTTCGGTCATTCGTTGGCACCCTTCGTGGGCCCGCCTTCGATTGGTACCGTCGTCTCAAGTCTGCAAGCATCAACAGCTGGAACGACCTGGAGAATCTATTTCTCGCTCATTTCTTTGATGATGACGCCGAAATGTCAATCAGAACACTCTTCGATGAGAAACATGAAGACGACGAGACGGTCGATGACTTTGTCGAGCGCTTCCGGGATAAGGCGATGAATTGTCGAGATCCGATCACAGAGGATTTCATCCTACAAACCTGTCACAACAACCTCTCCTTGGACATGTTGGAAGTTATGAGAGTAGCACCGTTCGACACCTGAAAAGAGTTGAAGATGCACGGAGAGCGGGCCGAACGCTTTCTCCGAAGGAAGAAGGCCGAGAGGAGCCAACCAACGGCTAATCCTCCGAACTCGAACTTCGCCTCCCATGGTAAGAGCAAGGTACCTACAGCAGTTGTCGACGTTAATCAGACATCGCAACAAAAACCCCGAAGACAGCAAAAGACTTCGAATCTGAGACTCCAAAAAGAGTACTCCTTCAAGGACGAAGATGTTCCAGCTATTTTCGAGTCCCTCCTTGAAAATAACAAGATCAAGCTATCACCTATCCCAGATCAGGAGGAAGCTGATAATACTACGGATCCAAAGTACTGTGCGTACCACAGGAGGATCCTTCATCCTACCAAGGCTTGCTTCGTTCTCAAGAATAGCATCCAAACCTCGGTTGAAGCCGACGTTATATCGCTCAATTAAGTCGAATGAATACTCCGACAAGTATAAGAGTATAAATTGCTCCTTCCGGCATTCCAAAGAGTATAGAGTATAAACTACTTCTCGGTCATCTAACTAAGTACAATGTTAGACCCAGTTTCGCAAAGGAAACTGAGGGTGGATGATTTATGTAACAGGAAGTTCCTAGAGAATCTTATATTCTTAAGGATAACCCGAACATGCGACTGAGAACAACGTACTCCTCGTTACACCCAGTTTTGCAAAGAAAGCTGGGGGCGGATAATTCATGTAACGGGAAGTTTCCGGAAGAATGTTAAATGTAATATTCTTAGGGATAACCCGATCATTACGAACAAAGTGATAAATACTAAACTCCTACTGTTATTCCCGAACACTCTTTTGTTGACGACTCACAGTCTTCCACCACAAAATCCCCCACTGATCAGACTAATTGACGGTGTGACCACCAAAATTCTTTTCGGTTAAATCCACTCAAACTTTCGATGTATCTGTGCACTCAACATCCTCATCGTTAGAGTTCGGACATAGTAATCAGAATTTTAATCTCCTGATCATTGACAATTGTCAAACCCCTCCGTGTTAAGTACTTGTCACTTAACACTAGGAATCCCCTGTGAGTGGTTTGTACGAATCAACACTCCCACTGTAATTTGTACTCCCGCTCTCACTGTTCACTTGGTCAAACCTTCCTACAGTTAGGGCCACAGTCAAAATCCCCTCTCGATTCTTTCAATGAACGAGAGGTCCACAAATCGAGTGATCAAATCTTCCTACAGTTAGGGTCACCTCAAACTCCCGCTTAGTCAAACCTTCCTACAGTTAGGACCAAAATCACAATTCACTCTCGATAAATGAGAAATTCACCTTTACTTCGGTAATCAAACCTTCCTACAGTTAGGATTATTCGAATCTTTTCAATTCTCGACGTGGAGATCCCACTCCTAGTTTTACTCTTT